ACGTCAAGCGGTTAAAGGATACATCAATTGAAATAAAACCATAAAATATCAACAAATTCATTTATTTACAACCTCTTTCTTCTTCCACGTCTCCTCCCATTTCTTCTGCGACAGTTTGAACGTGTCCACTTCTAATTTGTTAGCGATCAGGCGACCATACTGTGTACTGTTGAGAAGATTGCTTTTATCCGACAATTCTGTCATTATTTTTATCTTCTGCTCCAGAGAAGCTACTTGGAATACTTGCTCTAAAGCCCGCGACCCGTACTGGGATAATGCTAGCTTTTGGTAGTAACCCTGGAAGACAAAAAGTAAATTGAGAAAAAGGAATAATCATATGGTAGGTATAATAAGAAGTTTGACGAATTTTCTCTGTGTGGCAGTTCGATTCTCATATATCCGGTTTTTAATCTAAAACGAATAACATCCTTACTACATTACAATAAGATTTACACTCGTAATACATTTACAAGGTGTAGTTTTGAAACCGTGTCATTTCTCGGGGGCATGTCACAGAACTCATAAAGGTTCAATGTAAGAGAAAATTTCGGGCCAAAACTAAAAAATACGGCTATAATAAATCGTTTAAGTTCGACAGTATTTCAGAATAAGCGACAGCAATGTCTCTTATTGGAGTTTTATGGAATTAGGAATAATATCAATTACGTGTTTGAATTTGTGTGTTAAGCCGCGTTATAAAGCTAGTTACAAGACGGCGGCGTGTAGTTCGCACTTACGGATTTTCGTAATTTCAGAAAAATTAAAAATATTTACCTACAATTTTTTTAATTGATTCGTACTCAGAATCGATAGCCGAGTTACCTCCTAGAAAATCACGCGACTTTAAAACAACACCTTGTATATTCCAAATAAAAACTTACTACCATTACAATAACACCTCTAATCCTATAACATACCTTGTGCGTCTAAGTTACATTCTCACCAGTCCCAAACAAAAACCATCCTTACTCCAATCACAATAAGACCTACAATTCAACAACATACCTTCAACCTACATATAAGAATTTGCCCCGAGCCTTTCACTTCCACAAACTATTCCTTATAAAATATCAAACAAGAACCATCCTTACACCAATCACTATAAGACCTATAATCCTATAATCCTATAACATACCTTCAGTTTCTTTATAAAAATTTGCCCAGTGTCTTGACACTTACAAACTGTTTCTTGCAGAATATCAAACAACATCCTTACTGCCATAACAATAGGGCCTATAATCCTGTAATATACCTTCAGCCTCCAGATGAGTTTGTCCCGTGCCTTGACTCCCACAAACTGTCCCTTACAGAATGCGTCAGCGACATGACAGCCCTTGGCATCACATAGTATGATGAGGAGCTGGTCTCCCGTCAGCTCTAGAAGACCTGATACTGCTTTTGCTGGACGCTGGAAGGTAAGAGAAGTATATTAAGGAAATATTTTAAATTTAAACTAGCTGTTATTTTCGGTTTGATGTTGTAGTCGATTATTTTAAACTAGCTACTTCCTAGCGCTATCCAACACAAAAAGAATTATTCAAATCAGACTTGTAGTTACGGAGCTTAGCGCGTTCAAACAAACAAACAAAAAAGCAAACTCTTCCGCTTTATATAATAGTATAAGAGTGTAAGATATGATTGTTTTTTTAAATACGAAGCTTAGTTTGCTAAGCTATAAATAAGCTAAGGTTGAAATAGGATAAAAAAAATGCAAGTTTTCCAAAGTTCCTAAAACATGTATAATTGTTTTACATCAACATAATCGAAATAAAAAGAATTGTTTAATTTGAACTCTCATATTCTTTTGACGTCCTTGGGGTGGATTATTTAAAATCTTCTCTTTGTGGGTGACAGTCAGTCATTCAGTCATTAAATCAGTCAGATAGTCAGTCATTTCAATTGGGATGATGACAGGGTATGAAATATTACAAAAATCTCATTAGACCGTTAGGTAAAGAAAAAATATTAGACACGTATTTTTTTATTTTGTCGTATAAGAAAATATACTTAGGTAAAACGAAATAAAGTTTAGAAGTGGAAAGTAGCTACATCATTTTAGAGTATATATCGTACTCAAAAGTGACGTCATGCGATATTTCAAATCAATATATCGTCGAAAGTATTCGTTTCCGTAAGAAAATAAAAATACGTGTCTAATAATTTAAAATAATCTACCAGACGGACAGTGAAATAAAAATTAGTCATCTACATAATTGACTCAGATAGGATTTTTAAAACAGAGAAGATACTTATTTTTATGTATTGTTATGCTTAGTGGGTCCTACATACCTGGAAGTCCAGTACAGCCTGTAGTATAACAGACCCGTGTACATGAATGAAGTAGTCCTTGTCCAGCGCGGCGAGGTCCACGCGCTCCCGCGGCAACAGGCGCAGACATAGAACTGGGAAGTACTTCTGGTGCTCCGCGGAGGAGCAGTCGAGGGCTGCTTCTAGACTCTGAAAATAAGTGAAAGAAATCAGTATGTTATATGTATTTCCTAGTAAATTCTGGCTAACAGGAGTAGCAGTGGTTGGGCAACTGTGGCAGACTTGTCCCAAAACCAAGGATAAAGCTGTCACCAGCTACCAAGAGACGGTCGGTAGTGTTCTCTTCGGCAAATAAGCTTACCAGTGATCCCTAAGCCATTTCACCAGGCTGGGGATTGCGGCAACTTCCTTTTAAAAGGGATGCTTTTGTATAGGTTGATAAATTGTTGCTGATGACGGACACACAATAATTATCGTCACTATCGCCTTTGATAAAAAGACTAAAGAGGAAGGATGCCTTCTGAAAAGGCAGATGAGGCGATGGCCTCTTCGTCTTCCAATCAAGATTCCACTCAACACATTTGCTTATAGTCTTGCGACTGATTGCCGATCTTAAGCAAAAAAGATTTTTAATAAATAGATGAAATGACAATGTTCACTATAGTAAACAAAACTATAATATTTACTTACATTTAGATACTGCGCCTGTTTAGCCTTGAGCCTGAGGCATGCCTTGGCGAGTGCGACCAGTACGCCAGTGTTACCGCAGGCGAGGAGGGCGCTCATACGATCTGAGAGCTCGTCGAACATTGGCTCGAACTAGACACAATAAAAAATGTAATGTTAATTCAACGTTTTAATAAATATTCAACTGTGACAACAGTGTAAAATACTTTTATTTATTTATTTATTTATTTAAATCAACACATCCTAAAAGGTAACCTAATGCGATAACGTTGTCACTTAATATAAAAACTTATAATTAACATTGTTATAACACAGACATATGAATTGCACTTGTCCATCAACTGCACAAGTACAACGAACAACATCAGTCGTTACCTTTATGAACTCCGCCAATGAGCAACAGAAAATATCAACCTTTTGTCCAACGCTGTTAATTATTTCAATAGCTCTAGCCACAGGAGCATATCGCCCTATGTTAGTGCGACTGGTGGGTACCTCAAATTATCACTGCCAATACATTTTTTTTGTCATCGTTCGTAATTTTCCCGCGGGTACCATAAGATTAGAGTTGGCAGCTGTATTCTGTTGTAACCTTGATGTTCCGAAAGTGTGATCTCCAACTACTTGACATTCATTCCATATGGACGATTTCAATTAATTTCTAATTTTAAATTCATCTTATTTTAAGAATTGTTTAACTTTTTTGTTTTTTCTTGTGTTATGGTGTCGTGATTTGTTTTCTTGTCATTTTTTTGTAATTTAATTCAATTGCAGTATATTTGTATTCGCATGATATGATTCCCTTTTATTGAATGATCACAAAGTTACAGTAATTTGTGGTGAATTATATTTTAGCATGTAAGTGTATGTTTTGTT